TTATGCGAGGCTGTTTTATGTGAGGCAGCATTATGTGAGGCTGTGTTATGTGAGGCTGTGTTATGCGAGGCTGTTTTATGTGAGGCAGCATTATGTGAGGCTGTGTTATGTGAGGCTGTGTTATGCGAGGCTGTTTTATGCAAGGCAGCGTTATGTGAAGCAGTGTTACGTGAGGCAGCATTATGTGAGGCAGCATTATGTGAGGCAGCATTATGTGAGGCAGCATTATGTGAGGCAGCATTATGTGCTAGTTTTATCCCCTGAAATGAACTCTATAAATAAAACTAAAACTGGCGTAAATGGATGATTGAATTGAATTGGAGAAGCGAAGAAAATAATATTAAAAAGAAAAAAGATTTATGAATATGTGTAAACAGTAGACGCATGACATAGTGTTTGTATAGACTATCTGCCAGACGTGTGTTAACTTTTCTTGTTTGCTCTCCAATGATAACTATTCTCTCTCTTTCAACACACACACACACACGCACACACACACACACACACACACACACACACACACACGCATGATGAAGTCGCCTGTTGCATGAAAGATGTTATTTGATATTCCTTGAGAATTAAATACATACCGAGGTTAATGACATTACCCATGGCTAGTAATGTTTTGTTTAAAGATTCATACGTGTGTGAAATTTATAATTGAAACACATATGAAAAAGATGGTTAAATCTAATGTAATGTAGATATAACTTAAAAAAAAATATCATATATATGTTACGTGTAAAATGTTTCTTGATAATTTATATAAAAAAATTAAAAGAAGGAAATATTGATTAAATTCGGGTAATATTATATCAATTCAATACTCGTGTCGCTTTAAGTCTTTCTTGGGACAGTAAATGTGGATAAGTCAGTCAGTCAGTCTCTCTCTCTCTCTCTCTCTCTCTCTCTCTCTCTCTCTCAGTTAATATCTCCTCTCTTGTACGTTAAATAAGCTGTTCCTATCTCTCTCTCTCTCTCTCTCTCTCTCTCTCTCTCTCTCTCTCTCTCTCTCTCTCTCTCTCTCTCTCTCTCTCTCTCTCTCTCTCTCTCTCTCTCTGTCTCCTGGTCATGTATGGCACAGATTGAGGTCTTATAACTGGCAGAAGTATGATTGGTCGAGGAATGGTTAGGTTAGGTTAGGTTAGGTTAGGTTAGGTGAGGAGCAGCATCATGGATATAGTCTCGAGTCGTCATGGTGGTGATGGTGATAAGTGATGGTGTTGGTGATGGTGATGGTGATGGTAGAGAGGATTTCTTTTATTCGTTTAGCCTAGGGAAGCGAGACGAAAGCACCTAGAAGCATACACTCACGCGCGTGCAAATAATATCGAATACACAAACACACATATTACACACACAGAGACACATGCATTATACACACACACACACACACACACACTGCTAATGATACTATACCATCCAGAATACGTGGTAAATGGTCCTTAAGTCAACTACATTCACTCAACAGAGCAGTTTATTCTACCTCGTGTCTCCCTTTAGCCTTACACAGTTGCCCTCTTTAACCACACAGCTACACAACCCAGCCACACAGTTAACACCATTCCTTTACACAACTACGCAACACAATCCTACAATTAAATCCTCGTTTACAGAGTTACGCATCACAACCACGCAGTTATACAACCCCCAACCGTACAATTACACAACATAACCACGTAATCACACAACACGACCACATTGTTACACTAGCCAACCAGACAATCATATAACTCAACCACACACACACACATACACACACACACACATTAATACGATCTTACCACAGAATAACACAATTATACCCATTACACATTTACAACACCCTGGACCACACAATTACACACCCACCTACCTAACTCAGATCTCCCTGTCAATACCCTTCCTATTTTTATGACAGGATGGACAAGATGTAAGAGAAATTCCAAGACACACAAGTGATGGTGGGACGAGTTTTTTTTTTTTTCCTCAGGTCTAAATAAACCCGGCCAATGGGAAGTCTTGTAAGTGCCCCTTGTCAGACCTCAATACTGGAGACGTCGAAGGCTGGTTTATTGTGCCCCTGTGCTGTGTATATTGGGCCCTAAGACACCCTTAATTAGTGGACGAGGTGTGTCTGTGTGTGTGTGTGTGTGTGTGCGCGTGCTCTTAGAGTTGTTGTACAGAGGATTGCGTGTTTGGCTGTGGTTAGGTTCTGTGACAAAGTAATAGCGTGATTGTGGTGAGGTTTTAAGACAGAGTGGCGAGTTTGTGACGTAGTTATACTCAGGTTATTACAAAGTGGGAACGTAATTAGGCTCAGGGTATTCCAAAATGCTTACGTTAATGAACACAAGAACACAATAGTGAATACAACAGAGGGACACAGACACTACCAGAAACACTGATATTTCTGGAAACTTACCCTGTACCTCTTGATCATGACGTGGCTACATCTCACGTTACGTCGTCATGGTTTTGCCGAGCTGGAGAAAAAGTGACCCAAGGTTAAGAAACGAAGACCTTTAGATGGTTTCTTCGACAAGTTGTGCCGTATCTGAGACAAATCTTCAAAATTAATTATTACTTACGACCAAAGCTGAACTGTATAGAAGAGGCTATGGGGAATTTTTAGTCTGGTATTGAAGTTAAAATCTAAAGAATGTTGGAACGATATGGATTACGTGGATCAGCTCCCCCAGTGGTCGGAATCTGGTAGCTGGTGCAAGTATGTGGGGTCTAATATGATCCCCAGATACGGTTTACTCTGGAATGTCTTATGGCTTATTTGGTACAGTGTTTGGTTGACTCTATTACCTGGAGGTGATTGGTCTATCGTCATGAGGTCATTGATTCCATGAACTGAGATTGGCTGGATGATGAAAGTGACGTCATTAATCTTAAAAGCTTGGATTATATTCTTGTTGTGCTCGGTGGTTTACCTATGAGGTAAAGTGAGACCACAGTCCTAATAGGCCCTACTTCTAATGGGCCCCAGTCCTAATAGACCCCAGTCTTAATAAACCCCAGTTGTAATGGGCCCCAGTCCTAATAGACCCCAGTCTTAATAAACCCCAGTTGTAATGGGCCCCAGTCCTAATAGGCCCCAGTCGTAGTAGACCCCAATCCCAATAGAGCCCAGTCCTAATAGGCACCAATCCTAATAGACCTCAATCCTAATAGACCCCAGTCCCAATAGACCCCAGTCCCAATAGACCCCAGTCCCAATAGACCCCAGTCCCAATAAGCCCCAGTCCCAATAGAGCCCAGTCCCAATAGACCCCAGTCCCAATAGACCCCAGTCCCAATAGACCCCAGTCCTAATAGACCCCAGTCCTAATAGACCCCAGTCCTAATAGCACCTATCTTACAACCTAACCATTAACAGTGGATCATTTTGTGCCTGAAGCCCCCCCCCCATTGCACTAGAACCTGAACCCACAACCCTATCCAGGTGACGTGTGTTATATAGCACTGTGGTGTTGATGGTGTTGATGGTGTTGGAGGTAAAAGAGATTACAAGAGGCACAGAATCTTCAGTTGTGGTGGTGGTGGTCCTGTTGGCGTTGGTATTAGTAGTGGTGGTGGTGGTGTTGGTGGAAATGGTGTTGGTGGAAGTGGTGTCAGTGGTGGTAGTCGTAGTGTCAGTAGTAGTGGTGGTGGTGTTAGTGGTGGTGTCAATGGCGGTGTGGTGATAGTGTAGTGGAATGGTGATAGTTTTAGTTAGGTTAATTACCAGAGATTTAGTGGTGGTGGTAATGGTGGTGATGTTGGTAGTAGTGATGGTGGTGATGGTGTTATGGTACTAAAGATAGTGTACAGGTAAGAGTGAGTTTGCAGTGAGGAAACAACAGTGTAACAGTGACAGTGTAGTAGGAGAGTGAGTATGTTAGTATGTGTCGGGTGATGGTGATTGTATAGCAAGAATACAATAGTAGGATAATAGTGTAATAAATGGGGGCACAATGGTAGAGTGACAATGGAAGTATGGAGGCTAATGGGAAATATATGCCAAATCATCGTAATGTAAGAGGGAAGAGTTAGTGTAGCGTGATGGTAGCGTAATGGTAGCGTGATGGTAGTGCTATGGTGGAGTGGCAATGACAGTGTGGTAGTGAGATAATAGTAATTGTATGGTAGTCATGGTAGCGTGTGTGGGTAGTGGAGAGGAGAGGCGTTAGCGTGTGTGGCGGCAGTAGAGGGGCGGTAATGAGCAGCGAGATACATACTAACCTGCTGATAGATTAAAGTGGTGGGCGGGTGGTTGGCGGCAGGGTTTAGCGGGTGGTAGGATGGGCGGGCGGGCAGGAGGGTGGGCGGCTTACCATACCCACTCTACTCTAGAATCTGTTATCGCATCCGGGCAGACCATCATGGGAAAACCTGCCCACCGCCCCCCTGCCACAAGGCCAAGAGTCCTGTGGCAGGGTGGGGGAGGCGTTCGTGCCATCAGGGGGTGACAAGATGGCCAGATTACCACCATGATTTATTTCTCTCTCAAATGCAATGTGTTGGGAAAGGGGGTTGTGTGCGGCGTTGGCATGGGGCGTGGGCGTGTGTGTGGGCAGGGGCGTGGGCGTCGCGTGTTCAGGAAGCCAAGAATGTAAGGAGTGGGACACGAGAGTGGTCAGATGCCCGTTGGGGATGGTAGCCTGCTGGTGTTATTCTGTATGCGGCGCCCATTCCTCCCACCCTCATCTCTACGGCAGGGTACCTACTCCTAAGTTGCCAAATAATCTTTTTATGGAAATTAGGATAAAGGTTGACGAAGAAGAAGACATTGACAACTATCAGTCAACAGTGCGGCTGACATAAACAATGAAATCACACAAATAAGATATTTCCATTAGACGGAATCACACGAATTTAGGTGTTTACCGAAATTCCCGAAGAGTGGATGTTGTTGCGTTGAGCCAATGAACGGCGGGCTGGGAGACCACGTGACCGGCGCGGTGCTGCCCTCTGTGCTCAGGTACGGCGGCGGGGAGGCTGCTGCTCACCTGGTGCAGTGGTGAGGTGAACAGTGAGCAAGATGGAGAGGCGCAGAGTCGTCCACACTCGCGATGATTCAGGAAATTCCTAGTGTCCTGCCCATACTTTAGACCGACGCAGTGTGTCTCGCGGTGGATGAGTGCGGAGATGTAGTAGTGTCGGCAGGAAGTTATGATTGAGGAAAGATTTTGCATGATAATGTCCAGTTCGTGCCATATGTAACTGTTGTTGTGTACCCAGAGGTGGAGTTGTGCGTTCGTGTCAACAGTGTTAAAGTTGACAGTCGTGTGTGCCATTTGGTGTGCCGGGTGGACCAAACTTGGAGACGAGTGGCGGCCGACGTTGCGTGTGCGGCAGTGTCCTGGTGAGATGCGTGGCCCAGCGGCCAGTCGGTAGTGGTGGGCATAACCAGCTCACTGACAAATAGCTACTGGAGCCACGTCTGGCCAGCTCAGCGGCCTGAGCGCACCACGGACCCAAGCCTCACTCTCAACCCATGTGCGAGGAACCCTATCCCGAGCTGCCCTATGATCCAAGGTGGCTGCCACACGCTCCGCAGGGGCAGCCGACCCGACACCGCCCGTAAGGATGGCAACTCTAGGGCTCTCCAAAGTCTTCATTCTCGATAAGTACTTTACGGAGCTCCAAAAATTCTGGGAAACGGAAAAGAAACTTCAAGGTAAGATACATAGTGCTGGTATTAACGTATGTATGTGCTGGTATTGACGTGATAAATGTGTGTTTTCATGAGAGGGGCGGCGAGGTGGGTGCTGGCTATTGAGGCGGAGTTCTTCACGAGCCGCATGATTGACAACCACTTATTAGGAACTCCTGAAACTACCGTAAGCCCGGTAGCCCGGCTCCTGGCTTTCTGCCTCCTTACCTTCTACTGTTTTTTGCTAAGTAGTGTTTATCTACTGTGTTTCATTCTGTGAACTACTTCAGACTTCTTGTTTAAGTCCCAACACTTACCTTTCACTTATCCCATACAAACATTCCCCTCGTGTAGTGTTTTACTATACAACATAACCTGATCCTCAGACGTCTACCTCACAACACGTGGGGCAACAGATACTATACAGCCTTGCCTGTTTGTGGTTCATGTTACGTTTTTCCTCTTACATCACTACCGTGGGAAGATCTGGCGGAAAATTTCCACGTTCTTCCGGCAGCATTGTCTGTTTCCCGCTCCGCCTTCGATGTTCAAGTCAGCATGGACTGGTAGTGATCATCTCCGTAGTGTTTACAAATGCTGCGCTGTATGCTGCAGCTACCATCGACCTTGGCCAGGGTTCTCTCACTAAACACCTGACAGTTCGTCACACGTGTTGTACCACCGACCTTTTGAACTCTGCAGAGGGACCTTGAGGCAATGTTTCCCCCGGCAGCGGAAGAGTTCCATTAGGGCACGGAGGGAGGGTAGACTCCTCCTGTTAACAGAAGCGAGCTAATGCCTCACTAAACAACAGTCTCCCGCTTATCGCACTAGTAGATTATCAAGAATTACCGATGTAAATTAGGGTTGAGCTGTGTATGATTATATAAACATGATGGAAATAGAACACGAACATAAACTTGGAATGTAATACAAGGAAGTGCAAGATTCTTTTCTCAGTACTTGCAGAGAAAACACATGATATAAATATAAACTTTTTACCCCTGAAACAATTAAGAACAATCAGAAGCTAAAAAAATTGTAGTTAAGATAATACTATAAATCCCTTGAAACTAAAATGGACAGAACAGGTTAATCTCTTAGCTTCTGGCACTTAGGTTATTATAAACACTTCACTTAGATTAGTCGCTACGGTCGCATTGAAATCTCTCAGAAAACGGTGGATTACTTTCTAGTGGTGCGTTCAAGTCACTCGCGTCCTCTGAGGGAAACAGGTCCTTTACGGTATCAATGCTACTGAGATTCAAGACTTCATTCACTTTGTGGAGATTTGTGGAGAGACTATTTTTATAATGATGTTTTAACTTAGATATGAACATAAATACACTCGGGATATCTCTTCCTTTACGTATAGTTAGTAATTAATGATGTTGTACTATAATTATCTCACACACTAACTACAGGTAATACAAAGCTCTGTGGCAATAATTCCTTAACGATGTAACATTTACACCTAAGATTGTAATTGTTCTCGATTGTTCGTGTTTCTCTACATTGTTTACATTATCAAAAACACATTCGTACTGGTGTTTTATGTAAAGAGACAGTGTCCAGTAATAATAGAATACTTGAATACTGAGTTTATGCTCCTGAGTGGGTGATCACCTCCCTCGGGGCAGCTGATGTGGTCTATCGTGTGCAGTGAAGGCAGCAGGTCGTGATGACTCAGGGATACGAACCAAAAATACGCCTCAAGCATTTCCTTCCTTCACAGCTCTTTTTATTCAAGTTATTATTGAGGAAGTCTCACGATTCAAACGACACAGCCTGAAGCCTTAACTGTTAAGTGGTTTAACTGCAGAACAAGTGTACGAATTACTTAAGTAACTCGCAGTAACATTATTCCGAACTTTTGAGTATCGTACAACAACGGTAAATACATTAGTTTAGTTCAAATAGTTCCCAAAGAAAGCTCAGCAATCTTCATCTTCATAATTTTAATGTCACAGCAGAATAGTAAGAATGTAGTACATTAGAAATAATCTTCATAAGTGGGTGTTTTTTTTTTGCAGAATGGTCGATAAACCTGCAGAACAACTGGTTACATTGCAGGCTTTTCTGCACCTTTTATAAGAAGAATTATAATGAGCATTAACACCGCTCACAATATCCTACATATTTTCATTTTTTTGTGAATGAGTATGAAACCTGAGTGTGTTTGTTTACATCAGTCATCCATGTATACGTAGGGGCAGGGAAGTATGACAATATTTTAAACTCTTCTTTCCAAACATCCTTCTTCACGTAATCATTTCACCTTATGATAAACCAGACCCGAACGAGGCAACACTCCATCTAGATACACACACACACTCTCAACCAGTCCTAATTGACTCTCTAACCTTGACCTTTTGACCTTAAAGACATAATCATCGTGAATTATGTCTTGATCAATACCTGTGCCGAGACTAAACTTGCTGACATCATCCATTATTGAGTCAAGGTGCTGGCAAACAGACGGACAGACAGGCGAGACTAAAGACTCTGTCCACGGCAATAAGGGAAGCATCATAAGACCCGTCTACAGATACTGATGAGCCACGAGGAGCTGATAAATGAATAAATCTTTAAAATGAAGTGTTTATTTCTTCAGTATAATCTATTTGGCACTTGTGTCATTTCCCAGCGGTGAAAGTTTCCCCAACATAACAAGAATCTTCAGGACTTACTTTCCCCTCTCTATCTTCGATATGTGTTCAGAGGTTCTCCCTACATGCACGTTGGTAACTACAGGCTGTGGCTCTTTCCCCTCGAGATCCTTCTGCCTTCAATAGAGATATCAACATTGCTAAGTTTTTCCTCAAGAAAGTTAATTCATTTTCTAGGATTAGTTTTCGGGTTGGTATTTTCCTGCTCCAAACTCCTCGTTCCCATTGTAGAGTCGTGTATAAAGATATTAAATGATTCCCATAATTTAGGTATATATTCGAGGCACCGCCCCCCTCCTCCCTCTCTACCCGAGGTGATATATACATACTGCAGTGTTTTTCCCGGCCTGAGGGTGAGGGGCGGCGGACGAAGAGGTAAGGGAGGGACTGAGGGAGGGAAGGTGGCCAGAGCCTCATTACTACTCTTGTAATCTCACTCAAGTATCAAAGGACTAATGATGATCGTGTGTGAGGGCTACGTAGCCAGTAACCGGTAAGATCCCCCATTGAGATATCGTAATGGAAGACTCTAGCAACCAGGGCGGCCTATCTTCCCAGTCAGAATGCTTCATGAGTTTCTCAAGGCTTCGGGTTTTGAGTTATGCATATTAGAACCATCAACGTGTTGGCTACATAATGATGGAAGCGAGGAACCGGCTCAACGTACCCGGCTTGCCTACCTGTGTGTGTGTGTTCGTTCCCCGCCCCACCTGTACCACACACCCGCTCCCTCACAAAGCCACTGAGACTCTATTGTCCAATAAACTTGTCCTTAGGTGTATTAGTAGACTAAGAAGCCATGTCGTATGCACTCAGCCATCTCATTCAGCCATCTCACCCAGCCATCTCAGTCAGCCATCTCACCCAGCCATCTCAGTCAGCCATCTCACCCAGCCACCTCATTCAGCCATCTTACTCACCCACCTGACTCTGCCATCTCACTCACCCACCTGACTCTGCCATCTCACTCACCCACCCACCTCACAGACCCACCCACCCACCTCACTCACCCACCCACCTCATTCACCCACTCAGTCTCATGTGTCTGAACCAATCTCCTCACTACCCCTTCTCTCCTCCACCTCACCTACCGCTACATCGCCTACTATACCTTTTCCTCTCTCGGATGTGTAGACGGTGTAGAGGTTGTAGGTTCCCAGATATAACGGAGTGTAGTGAGAAGTGTATGTGTGTATTTAATAGTTCACTGTGCATTGAGGTGACGTCAACCCGGATCTAGTTGAAGAAAGCACAATGGTACTGGATTCTTATATAGTGACTGTTAAATACCGACTATATGACATAGGAAGACTAGCAAGAGTGGCTGTGTTAGAACACTTTAAGTTACGAGTTCCTCCTCTCAACATCTCCTCTACAGAAGCCGAGGAACTTAGACAACATAATGGAACATCTACCTTTCCTAAACTGGGTTCATTAAACTCTAGTAATTATAGCTGCGATTATTTACACTGAATTGTTCTAGTGTGAACACAATAGGTGGGGCGGTGCGTGGCGGGGCATTAGTATTCCCGGGTGTGTGTGTACAGGTACGAGAGGCCCGCCTGCCTCTCGCTGGCCACTCACTTCCTGCCTTAATGTGTCAACTAACGGAACGCTGGAATATAATATTACCTGACCAATACACCTGCAGTGTATTAATCATAAACGTGGGAAATTATATATTTATACAGACACAAACAAGGTGGTAACTCGTTGCATTCGTTTATTGGACGTACTCATAGGTGAGTCGTACACACCTGTTACGCTTACATCTTCATATTTACCTGAACTTCAGTGGAAACATTTGTATTTAAGTATATACGTTCAAATTATATATATATATATATATATATATATATATATATATATATATATATATATATATATATATATATATATATATATATATATATATATATATATACACACACACACAATAGTAGGGGCTGGGGACCACCCGTGAAGTAGTCCCTGCCCAGCTGCCTCACCAGGTCGGGGCCACCTCTAAGCTCTAGCCGAGGGCGGCCCGGACACCCTCTGTACGCCCCTGGACTCCTGCTAGGCGACTCTTGCTGCCGTCCTTCAACGTCCAGCTTGTCCTTCTTCGGCAGTCATGCCATCTCGGACCTGCTGTGCTCATTTTATACACCAGTGAGCTGCTATACAGGTGACCGTGGACACAGCGTAGCAGGTAGCCAGGGAAGGTACCAGTGATCTGTCCACTTTATGTCAGAGGGTCGTGGCCAGAGTCCTGTTGTCAGTCTTGTGGCTAGACTATCATGGCCAAGAACATTTTGGGCAGGTCTAGGTGTCATGGCCAACAGCACTAATGCTAAGCAGTCTTAGTCAGGGCAC